GAGCAATCTGTTAGGACATACGGCCCAAATACAGACGTCCTACTCCGCCCTGACTCGCAGATCTTCGTCGTCCAGACCGCGCTCGGCTTCCTCATCACGTACTCGCTCGCGACAGACCATTCATCCCGCATATACCAGGCTCAATTCACCAACACACACGGAGGTCACGCGAGGAAGAGCAGTGCAATCACAGGCTTCAAGATCCAGCGTCAGCATGATGTCAATGCAGGACCTGGAGAGGGCAATGGCCTGAAAGAGCTCAGTCTGCGGTTCCGGATGGTGATACGGGTGGATGCTGGGATAATTCGGGCTTTGGCTCTGGACGACGAGTTGGTCGTGGCCACCGAGAAGCCGGCGGCCGTACAATGTATTCGTTGGGCACCGGACAACACAGGAAGCCAGACCAGCACCGAGCTTCTGACCAAGATGACATGGTTAGGGAGTAACGTATCGATGCGTGAAATGGTCCATGATCGACCTATGAACCTGTCGTGCTGGATCACAAGTGATGGAAAAGCCTTTGCCGTTCAAAAGGCAGCTAGACGAGATGCTGCTGTCTCTAGTCTCTTCCGTGGCTACGGCTTCCACACACCCAAGACTGATGCCGATTTTGGTGTTAAAGCTGCGATTAATGCGAGATTCTCTTTGCTTGCTGTTGGCTGCGCCAGTGGCGAGATCCATGTATACACCGCACGCGACTACACCGGCAACATCCCTCTATCGCATAAATTACGACCGAACGTCACTTCGCCCGGCAAGTTAACTGTATTGACATACTCGCCAGACGGGTACTGTCTGTTCGCTGGCTATGAACACGGTTGGGCCATGTGGAGTGTATACGGAAAGCCCGGGGCCACCAGCTTCACTGCAGAAAGGACGCTTTCCAAGACCAACAATGAAGGTTGGCTTCTCAGCGTCAAAGAGGCTTTCTGGATTGGAGGTGGTGCGGAGCTCTTGATGTTGGGCGACAACGACAACCGTCTCTTCGTTTTAGAGATGGCTCGCAGTGCAGTCACTGGCTGCTTCTCCTCGGCAAACGTGTCTCGCTCATTGATGCAAACCAGTACGGGTTTCATGATATACCGTGGTTACGATCTGCCAGATCTGACGACGATCTCCGCCGACGTCTCTCTCTGGCACCACGTTCAAATCCCCTCGGCTTACCTTGTCGACCAATGGCCGATTAGGAGCGCTGTCATTTCGAACGACGGTCGTTATGTGGCAATAGCAGGAAAAAGAGGGCTCGCCCACTACTCCGTTAACAGCGGACGGTGGAAAATGTTTGATGATCCTTTCATAGAAAATGAGTTCACTGTCAGAGGGGGTATGTGCTGGTTCCAGCATGTCTTGATTGCGGCTGTCGAATGCCGCGAGTCTCACGAAGTAGGTACATCAAGGCGCTCTGTTCGACTTATACTAATTCACTTGTCAAGGTCCGGGTATATTCGCGCGAGGCAGCTCTCGACAACAGCCATGTCATGCATACGCAGAAGCTACCTGCGCCCATCGTACTAATAGCCCCCTCCGGCGAAGATTCACTCCTGGTCTACACGTATGAGAATATACTGTACCACTACGTAATCAGTGTGTCCGACGCAAGTGTGAAACTGGTGCAAGTGGGCCAAATCGCCCTGCATGGCATCATTCGGGCACCCACACGAGTGCGAGCACTTAGCTGGATATTACCGGAAGACCAAATACGTACGTGTTTCGGAACCTACAGCACTGTAGTTGCTGACACTTTCTAGATAACGGTGATCCAACACAGGACGTGGCGGTCGCGACTATCCTGTTCCTCGTAGATGGCAAACTTGTGCTCCTGCAGCCAACGACTACCGAGAGTGGCGAACTCAAATACGAGATGCGCATCATCGCGCAGAACGTGGAGACCTATGCTCTTATGCGCGATCACCCTGCATTCGCATTGGACCGACATGCCGATTCTTTGCCGGCGAGCCCCTCTATGGAACTGACCATGGAAGGTGTACACGGCCACGATTTACGGGACTCATTGTGGTTCTTCGATGGTAACGACATGCGAGTTTGGATAGACATGCAAGACGTCCTTGCTTCCGCGTCACCAGAGATCGGCAGGGAACTGCCCACGCCTGTTCAAATACCCGTCGACTTCTATCCTCTTTCGGCATTGATTAACAAAGCAATCATATTCGGGGTGGAGTCAGAATTGATTCAACGCAGGGATACGAGCTTTGCGTTCTTGCGCTTCGGAACCAGGGTAAGCTCACTGCCCTCGCGTCATTGGTGGTACACTGATCTCATGCTGACACACATGCAAGACACACCTCTTTCTCCCCGCATTGCTGCGGTGTCATTTGGCGCAGTTCAATCACCCTGCAGCCTTGCATCTTAGCCACCATTACCAGCATTTGCTTTATTTCCCCCATGCTTTGGAGATCTTACTGCATGAAGTCTTGGACGAAGAAGTGGATACGCAGCCACCACCCGAACAGGCGCTATTACCGAGCGTGCTATCATTCCTGAGCTCCTTTCCCCGATATCTCGACATTGTTGTGCAATGTACCCGCAAAACCGAGGTCCGTTCATGGCGGACATTGTTCTCGAACCTGCCTCCACCGGAAGAACTATTCGAAGAATCGCTACAGAAAGGGAACCTTAAGACCGCAGGTGGCTATCTCCTTGTGCTTCACACTTTCGAAGAACTGCGACCGACAGGCGATCAAGTCGTGCGCTTACTACAACGCGCCAAAGACGAACAGGATTGGGAGCTATGTAAAGAACTCGCGCGCTTTCTCATGGCTCTCGATGAATCTGGCGCAACACTCCGAAGTACGTTGGAGCTTGTTGAGCTGAAGACACCATCAGCGGAACCAGTCCATGGCCAGTCGCACTTTACGTTCGAAACCGCACGGCTAAATGTACCGCTGCGGGGACGAAACAATGGGCTCAGGGCATTGAACGGCACAGGTGGTGATTTTGGGGCCGATGGTACTGGTGTGATGGCGAGAGAGAGTGGTGACATTAGCCCCGGTGGGAGCGACGTAAGTGCTGGTAGCGATACACGTCCGTCACAAGCACCCGGCGATTATTTCGGCCTCGGGCTGAACAACATGCGTCAGTAGTAGTAATAACCAGATTATCTAATGGATGGTATCATTGATGCAGCTACGTACAGTTTTGCAGGCGGTCCGTGTATTCAAACCCACGATACTTACAACGATGATGTATGGGGTCGCATCACGAGACTCGCAGTCATGGTTCGGCCGACGTCGCTACCTAGGTACCGCTGAGCATACATTGACCTCCACTCGAACAATTAAACAGCCACTTGGTAATGTTAGGCGATCTGGGTACTCGGGGTGCCGTGTGCTATCGATGGTCTCAAAATATGGGTCTGGCTTTTCTCTCTCCAATGAGCAGCAATGCAGGGTCGTATCGACCCCACAAGGCTGCTTATCCAACCTCACGGCAGGAAGAGGAGTATATACCTCGCGATTGGTGAGCTCGACCAGTCTGCCCCCTTCTACCGCGTCTTGTACGGGATCCCGAGGCATGGCGCACCCATGTAGCTGGTCAACTGGTATGCGAACGTTCAGATTGCGGTAGTATCTGTGTTCTCCGTCTAACGTAGCATCGCCTGATGTCTCGTGTCGTGTGTAGCGGAGAGGTACGTAGCTGATCCAAGGGTTCCATGGGACGAAATGGCTTGGTAAAGACATCTACGTCCGCCACTCGACCAAACTTTGCATCTAGATAAGATAGCAGGGTTGGCATGCACCCGGGGGATGCGGTGGCATCAACCGGGCGGTGAGACGCGCTGGGCCTCTACAGCGTCTTCAGGGCTTGGAGGTCAGCTTTCGCACGTGCGAAGCAATGTCCAATGAAGGGCCTGGTCTCCTCACGAGGCAATCGATGTGGGTGAAGTCCCTCACAGAGATTGTAGAAGGACTGAGAGGATACAGCCTCATGATTCTGCTCACAATGGCAACGCGCGCATTGCACCAAGCCCATTCCATCCAACATGGCAAACTGCTCCAAAGTTTTGACGGATCCCCGAAAGCCCTACTTACTCGTGCTGCGTCTGAGACGGGTCCCGCGCTAAAGCGAGCACCAGTGCAATGGGTCGGCGTTCAGGCAACCAACTATACCTCCTCCCCGGCGCGCAGGCCTCTCGTTCACTCGTCGCAACAAGCATTAAGGACACAGCCACGACTGCCTTCACCGTATACTCATCCCAGCACCAGCACCTTGCTGCGCATACTCAACACACGCTTTATGACGCACAATTGCCTGCTTTCCGCTTCATCTGTTGCACAAAGCTTTATATGGCTGGAATTGCGCCCTTTCTGGAAATATTCACGGGCGGCAAGGCACACTGTCGCCAGCCGCGTATATATACTTCTGGCCCCATTACTTTCAGCCTTACCCGATACCGATCGATCCTTCGTCTTCTGTTGCTGAGATTCCATCTAAGATATTTACATCTGCCATAGGAATGACCCACACATTCCGATCACCGAATCGAACATCATCGCGCTTGCCAATTATCCTTGAGTACTATCGGGCTAGTCGACAACAATGACTGCCCCTCCAGCCGCACGACCGCTCTTCTCCGCCCATCACATGCAATACGCCTATCCTTCACCAACCTCGACGATCGCATCGGACTCAAGCTTCTATGGAAATGTCATGTCGCCTCCGCAACAACTCAATGGTGAGCGTATCTTTTCGTATCATTGAACGGACGCGATGCGCGTACCACATGCGGAAGGCGCTCTCGCTACGGCCGAGGTCCACTGCTTGCGCATGCTGCACCTACGCGGTGTGTAACACGATCACCAATATCAGCACAACCCCTGATCGCCATTCCCAGCTCACTCAGTGGTGCCAGACGCTAATACCCAGTAGAACTCATGCCATCTCGCAAGTCGAGCTCTTCGCCAACGGCCAAGTCACCTGACAATGCGAGCCTTAGATGGATTACCGCCACCAATCCCCGCGATTTCAAATCAAAGGCCGCCATGCAAACCGTACGCCAGACCGCAATGGGAAGCTATCTAAAAGCTACAAAGAATCAGACCAGCGACAAAAACAGGGCCAATAGCGAAGCCTCGGATCATTCGCGATCGAGCTTAGGATCCCAAAGCACCACGAAGCCACGAACAATCAAACCACCAAAGGTCAAGGCAAAAAAGAGTGATGATAAGATACACCGGTTGTTGCAGTCTACGAGCAGCACCCAGGAGGCTCCCAGACATGAAACACAGTTAGCACGGACTGAGCCTCGTCAATCGACCATTCTCCAGACACCCATTGTTGTTCCAATAATGAGTGACTATCTGTATCCATTCGACCTAAAGCCAGTGCCAGATTTGAGGTGTCTTGGAAATGGCCTCGACCCTTTCGGAACGATGTTTCAATCGAGTGACACCCGCGTCAACGTCGAGAAATTGAAGCTCGAATGCTCCAAGTACTTCGGCACGGAGGGTCTGGGTAGGTACTGGATCCCCGAATGCCTGAACTACGCACATACCTTCCTCAGCACCCTCTACATGGCTTCCGCATACGATGATGTCGTCCACAATCGCGAAATAGAGAGTTTGGAGACCGCAGCACTGCGCCAAGATGTCATACATTTCGTGAGCGGGAATCTCACAGACGCAGCACAGAGTGTGGCAGATCACAACATTATCGCCGTCAGCCAACTCATACTGGGGGACGTCATTAGTCGGTCCGATGCAGGCCTACACTTCCACCAAAACGGAATTGCAATGATGATCAAGCAGCGCGGCGGACTTCAAAACTTGGGTGTCAACGGCCAGCTAGCATCTGCAGTCTCGTGGGCAAATCTTGCGACTGCGGCTTTGCAGGAAGTCCAACCAACTCCGATGTACGTCGAATACTGTAAATTGCGGGCGGTGAAGGCATATCCCTTGGTTGTCACGATACCGGAATCGCCACTCTACCAGCCACACAAAAGATTTGTGACAATCGAGAGGTCGCAAAACTGCAATCCAAACGCGCAAAGACTTCTGGTCGACATCCACGCCATGACTGAGATGTTTCTTGACACCAATAGCTCGAAGCGTACCGGCAACTCCAATAAGATCCAACCCGTCTACGACCGCATCGTTCAATCTCAATCTGTACAACAATCTCGCAGAACGACCATTCTAAAAAAGAGTGACTGGAAGTATGAAGCCATTCGCCTCGCCGCGATTGTACAGGCTCAGGCCATGTTGGACCAAGTACCTTTATCAGAGGCGCTTGACCGAGTGCAGGTACCGGAAATGCAACCGGCTATGTTTAGCTCGTCCGCGGCCTCATTTTCCAACGACTCTTTCTCCTCGACCGTTGAATTCCAGGACGTCAGTCCGGCTACTGACTTCTCCGAGAGTTCTTTGTTTGGTTTATGCAATGAAGGCTTTCCTTTCAATCACCGGCCTTCGAATTCGTCCACACTCTCGCGACCTTCACTTTCGACATTGCAATCAAGCTCATCGGACGTACCGCTTCGGCAACAAGTAATCACACGGACAATCAGCGGCGACACCATCCTCCAACAACTACGAGACGCCCTCGAGAACTCCGACCTTTCAGACTGTTGGTCCGATATGGCCGGAGTGCTGCTGTGGATTGGCCTGGTCATGGGAGCCGCGAGCAACAACAGCAAAGACAAGAATGTGCGAAGATACTTCTCTGCAACGACAATGCGCGCATGCATCATGCTGTGCTTTGAGCATCCTGAAGCGATTCATTCCACGATGCTGAGGATGACCGATCTTGTTGCAGCCTTAGGCAGGAGGTCTAATGAGGGACAAATGATAAGAAACGACAGTTTCGTGTCAAGGAAGCGATCGAAAAACTGAAGAACTACCATATGCACAAGTCAAAGGAAACGACGTTGCGACAAGCTTTCTCCACAGTGGCAATGTCTTTCGGCGTCTCCGAATGCTCCACCTCGAATCGGTATCCGTGCTCATGTAGGGCTGTAGGGCTTAGGCTCGGGGCTGACAAGGCTGCGCCTTGCTCTTTCACTATCTCGAAAACATTCGTGGGTATCTAGGCGTGACATCTACTTTCTTTGTACGGATGTATATACTTTCACAATTACTGTACGATATCATTGTAAGGCGTTTTAGGAGTTCTGTTGTTTACTTTAGTCGGAAAGATGGCGACAAATATCTCTTTCAGACACACTCTCGTTAAATATTACTTATCACTCATCACTCCATGCGCGATGATGTCTCACATCTCTGTGATTTGATATATTCTGATATGTGTACTAACAAGATCTGAGGCCTGGCTCTCAAAGATTCATGCCTTCATGCCTTCATTCGTCATGGGTGTTCCCTCACACCGAACGACCGTGCCATGAGATGACCGCTTAACCCTTGGTAACCTTGTTGATGGTACCGTCCTTATCGAGGTGAACGTTGAGCCTCTCGGGCTGGAAGTCCATGGTCTTCATGTCGCCTTCGTTGAGAACGCGGTGTTGCTGCGGGAGGTCTGTCTTTGCGAAGGTCTGGGAGTGGCAATGTGTCAGCGCTGAAGTTCAGGATGAGGGATAAGATAAGGAGATGTGTGCTAGGAAGAGGCAACTCACCATCTCGTCATGCTGGTCTCCAAGCTTCTTGCCCATAAGCTTGCTCATCCAGTCATCGTTGGAGTTTCCGTCCTTGGACTGCAGACCGGGGACTACGAGAGGCATGTTGTGCGGCGGTGTTCGGGTGGTATAGAGTCTGTGTGGATGTATGTGTTTGCTTGCGCGGAGTTTCGAGAGTGGTCTTATCGTGGAGGTTGTTGTAGTGGTTTGTTTTGTAGTGTTGGATAGTGGGGTAGAGGGACAGGCAGTACTTATGCAAGTAGACCCTGGCTGGCACTGGCGTGAACTAACTTGTTTGTTTGGGCTTTAGGGGTCACCAGGCAGCAAGATGGGCTATGGTGAGTGCGTGGAGGGGAGGGTGACGTCATCCGTGTCTAGCCGCGTAAGTGGGGTCGTTTGGGGTTGATAGAACGCGGGATTGGCATGTGTTAGGCTGCGCTGGTTTCGGGGTGCGATTTTCCACTTGTCGGAGATGCTGAACTCCTTTAGGAAAGTCGTTTGAGCTTTCGCCCATGTAGACTCAGGCCGGACTTGACTTTAGTCGAGCCCTTCTACCTGGCAGCTCTAAAATGTGTATGAAAAGTGCTGATCTTGGGCGTTCCAACTACGAAAGATGACAATACCATCTAAAAAAGCTCAGGACGCGAAGCATTTATGATCGGAAGTAGAGCGACACTCTCAAAGCAACGAAATGACCAGCACAAGTTCACACCATCATAACATGATTTGAAGGATGTGATTTGACCCCTTGCTTTGTAGCAAGCGGATACAGGATACGTGATCTACATTACGAGATTTCTTTCTACTCTTGACTGATTGGAGTGGTCTAAAGACTACGCGGAGTGACACCGAGTCTAGACATCACTTATTTGCCGTCACGCATGTTGCGGAAGAAGTCCATAACACCAGTGAACACGACCAGCAGGATACCACCTCCAGGTCCCAATCTCAGGACCTTAGGTGTGAATCCCTTGTATAGTGCCGCGAAGCCCTCCTCCTTCATGACCGTACCGAGAGCGGGCCATGCCCAGTTGTACTTGGGCACCGACCCTGCGACCTTGGGAGAGTTCTGGATACGCGACTTGACGACGTCCATGGGAGTGTTGAGGATAGTACCGACAGTGCCACCGATAGCACCGGACATGAGGTCGTTGGTGATCTGGCTCTTCTTGGTGGTTGCTGCGGGCAAGAGAGCGCGGACCTGGAAGATGCAGCCGAAGTATCCAGCGTTCCACAGGATGTGCCTCCACATGGTCGACTCAAGACCCTGGTAAAGGGTGAGCGGTCCTTCTTGCTTGACAATCTTGGTGACGCAGTCCACCATGCCGTTGTACTTGTGGGCTTGCGCCCTGTCTTGTAACCGAATCTTGACGAGCTCGAAGGGTACGACGACGAAGGCTTCGGTGGCACCTGCGGTTGCGCCGGTGAGGATGGAGAGCGACTGATTCATCTTGGACTGGCCGAAAAGGTTGCGGTAGAAGGAACCCCATGAGTCATTGGCCGCGAACTTGGTGGCCCTATGTCGCGTGAGATGAGTTCCTGCATTTTCGAGATCAAAGAAGTATGGGAGCGCGCGTACCTCTTGGGAGCTTCCATAAGGATAGGCGCGGTGATACCGCGGTACAATCTCGACGCACTGGCAGATGTCAACCCCTCTGGTTCATGATCGCAGGAGCGTCATAGCGTACCCCTCATTCTTGATGATCTTCCTGAAGCAGTCCATCATGCCATTGTAGCCCTCGTCACCGACCACCTTGCCAGAGGTCTGAAGTTGTCTGCGTATGTTTAGAGGCGGTCCAGCGGTGGTGTCATATACGGTCGCTTACATCCGGGTCTTGACGACGTCCAGCGGGTACCTGAGATAGTGTTAGTGCTTGAGTCTCGACTGTGTGGGTGCAGGATGGTACATACATTATCAGAATCTATAGATGGAGCTTGATTAGCATAGTTCATCTCACGCGAGCCCCATGGACGGTTGCGCACTCACTTCTGACACACCAGCCACGGCACCTGGACATTGTTAGTACTGATTGACATAGCTGAAGCTCGACTGGCACGCAGGAATGCCCTGCGCGACCGCTGGAGCGAAGCGTGTATAGATTTCTTGCTTGGAGCGGATCCGGATTTCTCTCGGGTAGCTGTCGCATCGGAGCGGAGCGGTGTTAAGACAATTGGAACTTACCAGCCGCGAACTGGTAGACGAAAGGCAATGGCTTCGCATCGGCAGCAGACATGTTGGCGGTAGTGGTAGGAGGTAATGGGGTGGCCGAGGGTGAGAGAAGAGAGATGGCCGCTGTTGAGTGAGCGATTCACGGTCGGCGCGCACAATCTGGGGAAAGAGTGCTAGAGCGTGGGATGAATGTCCAAACTCCGCTTAGGCGTGGTCCTAGCTTCCCGTCTTCGGTTGACACCATTTCGATTGGCGCAGAAGCAACTATCTAACCCGTCCCTGCCTCTAGACATGTCTTGATACTTTTGTGATACGCGGAGCTACCTGCGATACGCCAAGCAGTGTCAATTCCGTGACTGTATCAATCAGGATGTCCGAAGACTATGACGGAAGCTTCCACATGCCAATCGGCTTAGACCGGGGCTATCTACGATTTCAAATCTACAATGTAGTCTTCAATCGAACCGACCGAATTCATTGTGCCTGTGTTCCCATAGATGCGATTCATGCGAAGAGTGGTTCAGGCCAGCGCAGGTCCCCGCACTCGGAGCTGTGTCGCACATCGGCTCAAGTCAGCCGGCCCGATCGCCACGTGATAACGAGCCCTCGCCTCACCCAACGTGATTGGCCACTCACGACGCGTCTCTCGCGTTCGGTGCTTTCGAGACGCTGACGCTACCAACCATCTCCATGTCCACGCGACAGAGGTCCTTCTTTGACCAGAACCCGAAGCCAAAGGTACTTGGATAGCCCGCTGCCTTCACTGCCGGGCGCATACTCACCTCTCACCCTCGCAGCAGCAGTTCAAGGGCCAATGGAACCGCCCACGCAACTTCCCCCACCAAAACAGTAACCAGGCGGCGCCGCAGGCTCGGCAGGTAGTTACTGGCCCTCCCATCATGCCTTCGACCCAGACACGCACCAAGCTCAAAGCTTTTCAATTCATCGAGGGCGCGCCCACCGCGGAATCCCTTCGACAGCGCGAGGCCGAGAAGGAAAATCTACCTTCGGCGCGAGGAAAGACACCAAAGCCCATGGGGACACCAAAGGCGAACCGTGTCGCGAAAGATGTGGGAACCATGAACAAGACTCCAAAGCTGCCCACCATTCTCGACTGCCCGCCGCCATCAACCCCCGCCACCACGAGGCTGCCGCTTGCGGACCTCGTGGGCAACGTCGACGATTCCTCGAGACACGCGCCGCAGCCTGTCGCCTCGCCCGAAGAGACGTTGATATGGAGGGGCTCGCAAGCAGTCAACACGCCTTTGCCCCGGAAGAACAAGAAGCGCGCTAGGAGCTCGTCGCCTGTCGGACCGTCGCAAGACGAACACAGACTCGACGGCGCCAGGCAAGACATCACGACACCCCAGGCCGACCCTGCCATGGAGCTGTGGTCACGGTACACAAACAACAAGGGAACACCAAGCGCCAACAAGAGCATAGCCTTCGCACATCTCATCAACGAATCGTCACCTAGGTCAATGGCTGCTGCTGGAAGTGTCAGTGGGCTTCGGAGGTGGGCAAGCTGTGGCGTAGAGTTCCCAGCATCGACCCGGAAGAAACGGAGAACCCACGGTGTGTTTCAGCCGGAGCAGGAAACTACAGAGGACGTGTTTGCCGGCGCATCTAGTTCGGATGGAATGATGCTTGGACAACCCGCGAAACCCAACATCGCGAGCATGGTTCAGCGCATGAGGGAATGCGTATCGAAGTCACAGCCGCGCATATCGTCACAGATGCCCTCGAGCTCATCACCGTTACCAGGGGCTGGCGATCGCCAGGACCAATCGTCGGGTTCTCCTCTCCAGCGGCGTGCACGCGACCATCTTGCAGAAACCTCCGAAACGATACGGCACGAGTCGGCACCTCTAGAGGATACCGTGGACATGGACGACGAGCTTGTTCAAGAAGATGATTACGTGGAAGCGGCTCCGAAGCCACCGTCATCGCAAGGATCCTCAGATGATTTCGGAGACGACTTCGACGCTGACATGGTGGAAGCTTTGGATATAACGCCTCGATCTGTGCAACCTCCACCGCCCGCGAAGTCTGCGCCCCCGGCACGATCCACGAGCTACGTTACCATACCCACC